CTATGTACACTCGATGTGTCGAGCGTTTTCTTTCTCCCTTTAGGTTCCTACAAACGCTCTAGAGGGGGAGTATTGTGGGACACGTCATAGCTTAACACGTCATCGCATGCCTGCACGCCAGGATTGGGAGGTGCAAACGTACAAACAGTGACCAATCATTAACCTCTGTTTGTTTAACCTAATTCGCCATCCTGATCGTGATTAAGCTCCCTGCGTGATCACGATTCACGTTCGGTATCTAATGTATAAACGTATCGGTGATACGTCTCTTCTTCTCTAGACTCGGTAATTGGGAGAATCTATCACAAAGGTTTCTGAGACTTAAGCCAGGCTTTACTAGCGTAGAAATCCGCTATAATTTAGATCTTACGGATATTGGTCAACGGCAGGAGCCCTTTTTTCTATTCGTATAGTAAATTTGAATTTTGGAATATCCTTTGTACCTAGTACTTATAAATAGTACATTGACTTCGAATTTGCCTTTACCAGCTTATCCTCTTGAAATAGAGAAATATGAAAAAGCGTTTCTATTCGTACTATGAAGTGAAACCAAAGAGACGAATAAAGATGTAGGTAAAGTACCATTTTGATCTTCTCGGTAAATAATAATACGATCAGGTCATAATACTCTTAAATATTTGAACTTGACAGACAGCACTTAGGGATATTGTTTCTTTTTCGTCACAACTTTGTCCTGTCTTCAGATTAGAATGACTGGCTCTGAATGCTATGAACACATAGGACTGCCTTGTCAATTCATTCCTCACTGTCTAGTTGGATCCGATGGAGAGGTTATTTTATATTAGCAAATACGCAACGTGCCATAGACTTACCTCCACGTGGTGCATCCTGGGCAACGTATACTCGTACGGTAAAAAGGCCTATAAACGGGCAATTGACTTCTCACTTCAATTTACTATGACACCACTCTATATCATATTGATCACTATCACAGTTCTCATCTTACCTTTTCCTACCTGTGTGTCTGTCTGTCAACCCTCTCCACTTTCCCTCACTTCGATGTTCCTCCCCTCTGCGAAGCCCAAAGTCAGCTTAAGGGCTTATGATAACAATCAAAACGCATGTCATTTGAAATAAATAAATATTCACAAATACCGCTAGTCGATTCGTCCTGAGATAAGTTTAAAACAAAATCCGAATCAGTATATCGATCAAATAATGTCGTATCTTTAATTACAGCTAGCTCTTTGAAAGAGTTTTGGAAAGATACCCAAAAACCCTTTTGAACGAAATTAAAGTAATTTTAAATATTTATTTAATTTTGCCTAAACTTTCTCTCAGTCTCCTGGTTTAAGACTATTGATTAACGGTTTGTGCAATAACTTTCATTTTTGTTCCAACTGTAAGCTGCCATAAATACCTGTAGCGGATTTCTACGCTAGTAAAGCCTGGCTTAAGTCTCAGAAACGCTTATTCACTAGATACCGAACGTGAATTGTGATCACGCAGGAAGCTTAATCAGATCAGGATGGCGGATTAGGTTAAACAAACAGAGGTTAATGATTGGTCACTGTTTGTACGTTCGCACCTCCCAATCCTGGCGTGCATGCATGCGATGACGTGTTAAGCTGACGTGCCCATAAAATGATAATATGAATTAGTTTTCATTTTATGAACTGATTTAGTAAATATCTGAATTAAATTATCTTTCACTTTTTATCAGTTATTAGTGCAAGAACAATGGAAGGGAAATTGGTCAAAGTACGAAATCGAGGGGAACCTTGCTCCAGATAAACCGATTATAAGGCCGTTAAACATATCCATTGTTGGTGCTCATCTCACATAATTATAGCTCTATTTTAATTAATATAGCTAGACAACTAGACCTCACATAACATCTTGTTCTAAAATATTTGCAACCCAAAGCATTCGCGTAGACCAATTTCAGGACAGCCGTACGCTCAAACATTATTTCAACTAATAATATTCCAATATTTCAAGTGCAAAGTTTTATCGAAATAGGTTATTTATTTATTTATTTCAAATGGCAGGCGTTTTGATAGCTATCATTAGCCCTTTAATTGACTTCGGGCTTCGCAGAGGGAAGGTTCATCAAAGTAGCAGAAAGTCGAGGGGTGGAGAACAGAAGAGCGATTCACAGATGTAAAAGAGGTAGGCAGACACAAAGGCAGAGAAAAGGGTAAGATGAGTGCTGTGTAAGCGGTCGAATATGACAAGCAGTCGTGCCATGGTATTTTGAAGTCAGAAGTCAACTCCCGGTTAATAATGAGTATACGTTGTCCAGGGTGCACCACGTGGANTAATAAAGATGCGTGTCGGTAAGGTCTTGTCAAATGGAAGTGGTTTTTTTAACGGCCAAATTGTCTTCAACATTTATTTATTTATATCAAATGGCAGGCGTTTTGATGGTTATCATTAGCTCTTTAATTGACTTCAGGCTTCACAGAGGGGAAGGAACATCAAATTGAAAAAAAGTCGAGAGGGGGGAACAGAAGAGTGTTTCAAAGATGTAAGAGACAAGCATAAAGGTAGAAAAAAGGTGAGGTGAGTAATATGGAAATAGTCGAATATGACATAGAGTGAGGTGATGGTAGTTTGAAGTGAGAAGTCAACTGCCAGTTAATAGACCTTTTTGCTGTATGAGTATACGTTGCCCAGGGTGCACAACGTAGAGGCAAGTCTATCATACACCCCTTGTCTTCAACATAACCTTAGAGCAATAAGGGGTGAATTACTAGTAACTCATTAAAATTTTATTCACCATGATTACTTTAATAAACATGTCTTCAACTAATACACTTTGAGATTTTTTATTGTTAGCGTTTTTCACTTCTAAAGTTTATATTTGGGTGAACAATATATGTGCAATCCACATTTCTCATTTCTACACAATATGAAGTTTAATAGTAGATTTGCTTTCAGTTCATCTTTAGCCTTCTAATTAGATCCTGTTTTCACAAAAGACATTGGATTAATAGTTATCAAGTGTAGCGTTGAAGAGACATTTATAAATTGACAGAAATCGTTCTAGTGAATCCACTGGACAGTCTCGGATTTATTTGCATAGTCGGAATAACGCCTACACACACATTTAATTGAAGTGCATCACATGACGATGAATAGCTTGACGTTCAAAAGTGAGTGATTTTGTTGAAACAGGATGAACAAACTAACTTCAAAGCCCTTAAAAAATTAACTACGGCTTAATTTCGTCTTCATAGACATTAATTTGGTTAATATTCGAATAAAAATCTACATCTTTTTGTGTAATATTTTCTTCCATTTTGTTTGTTTGTTTGTGTTTGTGTTTATTTAGAGTGACGGGTGGGGAGCTCTTCGATCGAATAGTGGACAGGGGAAGCTTCACCGAGAAGGATGCAAGCGACTTGATTCGCCAAGTCCTGCTCGCCACAGAGTACATGCATAGTCGTGGGGTCGTGCATCGGGATCTTAAAGTAAGTACTTGTTAAAGAAGAAGAAGAAGAAGAAGATGATGATGATGAAGAGGAAAAATGCCTTTGCATTGCTTGTAAAGAATCTTATTCTAGAGGCACAATTTCTCTGTTCAAGTACATTTTAAATTAATATATAAATGTCGTTGGATTTGCACAATGCAAAAATTTTCTAATCACATTGCACTAAATGCTATAATAATCAATAAAATAATGCACCTATATATATATATATATATATATATATATATATATATATATATATATNGAACAATGGAAGGGAAATTGGTCAAAGTACGAAATCGAGGGGAACCTTGCTCCAGATAAACCGATTATAAGGCCGTTAAACATATCCATTGTTGGTGCTCATCTCACATAATTATAGCTCTATTTTAATTAATATAGCTAGACAACTAGACCTCACATAACATCTTGTTCTAAAATATTTGCAACCCAAAGCATTCGCGTAGACCAATTTCAGGACAGCCGTACGCTCAAACATTATTTCAACTAATAATATTCCAATATTTCAAGTGCAAAGTTTTATCGAAATAGGTTATTTATTTATTTATTTCAAATGGCAGGCGTTTTGATAGCTATCATTAGCCCTTTAATTGACTTCGGGCTTCGCAGAGGGAAGGTTCATCAAAGTAGCAGAAAGTCGAGGGGTGGAGAACAGAAGAGCGATTCACAGATGTAAAAGAGGTAGGCAGACACAAAGGCAGAGAAAAGGGTAAGATGAGTGCTGTGTAAGCGGTCGAATATGACAAGCAGTCGTGCCATGGTATTTTGAAGTCAGAAGTCAACTCCCGGTTAATAATGAGTATACGTTGTCCAGGGTGCACCACGTGGAGGTAAGTCTATCGCACACCCCATTATCGAAATAGGTAGAAGTTCACATTTAGAGCCATTTATTCACATTTGAATTTAAATAAATATACAGTATCTAGATTAAGGAGCATAGTCATAAGATTTTGCCTATTACTTTCCTGAATTACAATAATTGTAGAGTAGATTTATCGAATTAATATATTGTTTTTATTATGTCATTTGGAAATGAAATAAATATAGCATTTTAGAGCGTAATAATTGTCGAAATATATATTATTACTAAATCAGCGACACAAAATATTTTGCTGCGCTTGTGTTAAAACATTAAACCGTGGAAACACATCGTACTTATCCATGTTTATCATGAATATATTACAAAAAAATCTTAAAGCTTAGGGTAATTCAAGGGTACATGTTTTTCGACACATTAAAGCAAACATATGCTAACCTTATTTAATTTAATCAAAAATAAAAAAGTCAATGAAATATCTTGATTAACTTTTATTGACCTTTATAATTAATTAATGGGGTGCGTGATAGACTTACCTCCACGTGGTGCACCCTGGGCAACGTATACTCATACGGCAAAAAAGTCTATTAACTGGCGATTGACTTCTGGCGCAGTACTCATCCTACCTTTTCTCTGCCTTCATGTCTGTCTCTTTACATCTTTAAATCACTCTTCTGTTCCCCACCCCTCAATTTTCTGTTACTTTGATGTTCCTCCCCCCTGTGAAGTCCGAAGTCAGCTAAAGGGCTAATGATAAATATCAAAACGCCTGCCATTTGAAATAAATAAATAATTAATTAATTAATTAATTAATTAACAAAATGAGTGCATTATTTTTTATATGAGCGTAGTTTGCAATTAATAATGAAATTCAATAACGGCATTTCTTACTTAAAGTCATTATTATAATGAGCATTCTTTAGCACACTTTTTCTAGTGAACAAATAGAGGAAAGTTTGGGCGGCGTTTCAAATTCTTAGTCGTTGTGGGACGTTGAGGTTGGTTTTCGTTGTTCATTTTATAAGACATTTTCAATTTTATTTGGCTAATGCAGAGTAAAACTACATTGATTTTATAAATTTTAAATAATTTTTAAGGTATAATTCAACTAATATAACAACTTGGTATCATTGGTTATTCGTTTGTTAGGTCTATTTACCCAATATGAATATGCTTTCATAGGCTTTGATCGTTTGTGCAACAAGCACTTTTCGGACGGTTTATAAATCGAATTAATTTGGGCTGTTCCCACTTGTGCTGTTATTACCTAATGTAATTATTTCTGTTTAAGTTGCCATTATTTTGTTATTACAACCAAATTATCATATTTGTCATAATGATTTGCAATCATTCAATGAATATTTAAAAATTGAGGTGGTCTTAAAATTTTAGCTCAATGTCATTTATCGGATTGTGTCGCAGTTGTTTTTCAGATACTTGCACATGTACTGACTCAAAGTGCAATGGGGACCCTTACCTAGAACATTTTCAGGACTCTCTTTTGTCTTCAGGTGCGGACAGCGATTTTGAAGATAATGAATCTGAAAAGAGCGTTTATATCAGAAAACGTCGAAATGCTCTAATACCTTGTGAATTATCATTACGAAACGATGATGATCCTAAAATCAGAGAAGCGATGGAATACTTCTATGGACCAGCAGACGATAAAAGACTACGTAATCCGTCTTATTGTTCTACAGATTCTCCTTGTTTCTCATTTCAAGACCACGATTTCCAGTATCAGAATGAAACTGAGTCTCAAATTGATTTAGAACCGCTGTTTCAATCATTACCTCAAAGTAATTCCCATAGTTCCTCCTCAGATAATGATAATGCCCGCATATGATTGTGATTTTGAGTAAATTAAAGCCATAACTTTTGCCATTTTATTTCTGTATTTTATTTTTTGTTATAAATTTTATTTTTTGCTTCTTTTTACTTACGATCAAATCTTACTTGATGTAAGTAATGCGTGGGTTCGGTTACTGATTGCTGTTATGTTGATGTTAGATTGGAATTTATATATATATATATATATATATATATATATATATATATATATATATATATATATATATATACATATATATATATGATCCTAGGATGTGGGCAATCGATAATAGCTTGTGTTTTGCCGTTGTATAATTTTTCCACTGTTTGAATCGCCTCAAAGCAACACAGTTCAAAATATCTATTTCATAATGAATTTCCCGTGCTTTATGAGTTCTAGTCATATTGAATTCCGCAAGTTTTTCGCCTTCCCTACAATGGGGACAATTCAACTCAGTCGGTGCTACTTGTGGGACACGTCATCGCATGCCTGCACGCCAGGATTGGGAGGTGCGACCGTACAGACAGTGACCAATCATTAACCTCTGTTTAACCTAATCCGCCATCCTGATCTGATTAAGCTTCCTGCGTGTACACTTTATCCGCAACATACGTCCTGAATAAACGTGCTCCGTGCTACCCGTCTGTTTCCTTTATAGCTGGGCTATAGCTTAGCTGGTTCTGGGAGTCTAGGTAGATGTAGGAGAATCTGCCTTAGAGAGTTCTGAGTCGGTCAGACTTTACTAAGGTAGCAATCCGCTATATACTTTTGTTACCTAAGTAATTGTCAAAATTCGCTTAGAAAATGGGAAGATATTATGAGTTTATTCTGATGAGAGATTCATCTTTGGGTCCCTTATTGACTAGAATCAATTAGTAAGAACTCGTGAATTCTAACAAACAGATTAATATTGTATTAAGTAGAAGTGATAAAGGCGGGAATGCCTAGGTGAGAATGTACTTGTATCTGTGTGATATCAAACACGCTTAATTTAATTTTAATACGAAAATCCAATTATTTGCACTTATTTTGCAGCAGGATACGTCAAATAAATAATTTATTTTTTGTGATTAAGATGGATTCCAATGCTGTTATCGTCATGTGAGCTATGTCAGACCTCACCAACTTTCATCCTTTGGAAGTACAAATTACTTGGAGTTATAAAACCAATTATCGAAACCATACACCAGATTGTGAGCTTTAGATCTTGTTGATAGGAACATGATCAGAAATTTCCGAACGAATTTTAGGGGGTGTGGCAAGGAATCCGTATTGGGTAATACTAATACCCAAATTCGAAATGTAATTGGAGAAGCTTCACGAGGGCTTTACTTTCGGTTTCCTTTCCCTATATAACTAAACGCTCTTTGTATAAGCGATTTCAATTGCCGCCTAACAGAGAAAATGCAAAGCATTTTTCAGCATTACTGTGACCTATAATTAAGTGATATGCTACATCAACTATCAATATGCGCTCTTTTTCAGGTTTTCTTATATATTCTTTAAGTTCTTATTTAAATAGTAATCGAACGTGAAGTAAATAAGCACTGAGTATTTGAGTTCTATTGAAATAACAAGTTCCCACCGTGTGAGAGTCCTAAGACTAGAATTAAATTCTTCCACAGGGGTGTGCGATAGACTTACCTCCACGTGGTGCACCCTGGGCAACGCATACTCATATAGCAAAAGGTCAATTAATTGGCAGTTGACTTTTCACTTTAAACTACCATGACCCCACTGTATGTCATATTCGACCCCTTTCACAGTACTCACCTTACCTTTTTTCTCTACCACTGTGCCCGTCTGTCGCTTTTACATCTGTGAATCATTCTTTTGTTCCCTCTCTCGACTTTTGGGTTCCTCCTCCTCTCTGTGAAGCCCAAAGTCAGCTAAAGGGTTCCTCCTCCTCTCTGTGAAGCCCGAAGTCAACTAAAGGGCCAATGATAACCTAAACCTCGGGTACAAATGACATTAGTGCGCGGAATATTCAACCCAACTGAGTTCGCGTTTCTCACGACTAAAAACTTAGGATGAAATTGGTTTTCAAGGTGAATATTAATAGCACCTTTCCAAATGGGCTTAACCAAGTTTTGCAAATCATTATATATCGGCAACGATGTCACTAAAGTAGGCACAGATTTTGCAACAATTTTACATCTTTACAGTCATCAACGAGTGAACGCGAATAACGACCTATAGGTCTCATTTGCATACACATTACACGAATGTTTTAAACTCTTGCTGGAGGGACCGATTTCCATTGCTCTTTATAATATTTCATCAGATGTGAGATCAAGATGAGTCAGCTTCAATTAATTCATGTTTTAGAATGCAGGATGCTAAATATAAGCCAACGTTGATCCACTCATTTACTTAAATTTTGCTTCGCATGAGGAAAGTTTGTACCACAAAACGGGTTCATAAGGCTAAATATACATTGCGTTTTATTTCAGTTTAAATAATTTTTCGTCAGCATTGATTGAAAAGTAAAGTTTTTACAGAAAATTTCGGATGACAAACCTCTACCAAGGTGCTCTTTTGCTTTGCTTATTTTAAACATAATTCCCGTTCTCTATGACATTTCTTATTGATCCCTCTCATTTACGAATAAAAGATATGAAACGCAGCCTCAAAACTCAAATTCATGTTAACGCAGTTTTATTCGTTCTTTTGCTATAAACTGAAGACAAACGCATACGTATTTATTACATTCGCACCATGATGTAGCGGATTGCTACCTTAGTAAAGCCTGACTGACTCAGAAA